AGCTCTTAAACTTGCTTTTGGCCTTGTGCTTTTAGGTGATATCCTAGGACAGTGACAAGCCTGGAGGATGAGTGAGGAGACCCAAGTGGAGGCATGTCCTGATTCTGCTGCAGGTCCACGCTGTGACTTGGGCCCCACCTCCCTTGTCTGTGAACTGTTAAGCCCAGCCTACCTGACTTTCCAAGCACTCTTCTAGGCCTGCAGTGCTGTGAGTTTTTCTCACCAACACCCTAAGGTTTACAAGGGACATTGAGTCAGAAGGCACACGCAGAATAAAAGTGGGTTATATTCCTGGGCAAAGTTTTAAAAGAGTGAGTTGCCATTTTGGTAGCAGATGAAATGTACTGTGGAAAAAAAAGGACACAGATACAATCAGGGCTCCAGACACAACTGAGGCAAGTGCTACATAGAACAGTGAAGATCTAATAATGAAGCTGAGCACACATATCCCAAATATGTAGCAGGAAGGCTCGTGGAAGAAGTGGCCCAAGTGCACAAAATATAGAGCTGTGGGTCTATTGAGGGAATCGGAGTTAAAATCTATGTCCAGACTTTGCAAAGATAACTATTGTTATGGTTTGAGGCTTATTTTGCAAGGGAGAACAATATAATACAGGACACATAGTTTATATGATCATTTATAATAGTCACTCAAAAAATCATATACAAGAGAATGCAGAAATCTGTCCACACACCAAGACCAAGGAAACTAGCCGAAGGCCTGGATCCCATGGAAATGTCCTGCATGAGTCCAGCAGAAGACCTAGAGCTCATAACAGTGCATCCCATGAATCTACCTGGAGGCCCAGAGCCCAGAACAATATCTCATGCAGGCCTGTTTCACAGATCTGTGCTGCAAAGGCCCAAAGTGGAATCTAGAAAGTCTGTGCCAGTGGGTTGAAGGATCTGTGCTAGCAGGCTGAAGGATCTGCACTGGAGCCAGGAAGCAATGCTCAGAAGAACCAGAGATCCCCTGAAAGATACCACAGCCATCCTCAGCAACAAGGAGGTCCCGAGCTCCTCTGGTGATCAAGATGGCTGAGTTCCTATCAGGAAAGCCAACACAGCGAGCTTCTCCAGGAGACTGGCAGTGTACCATCTCCCCCTCTGGAGCCAGAAGGCGATACTCAAAGTGAGGACCAGAGCTCCCCCAAAGTGAACCAAAGCCATTCTCAGTGCCAGTGAGGTCCCAAGCTCCTCAGAGGATGAAAACAGCCAAGTTCATCAGGCAAGCCAGCATGATGAGCTCTTCCAAAACAATCACCTCCTTATAGCTTCCACCAGCTCCCACCAGCTTCTCTCAGCTCCCAACAGCCTCTTTCTCTCATTCTACCTCTTACGCTGCTGACAACAGTCCTCTGGTGGGCCTCTCACACCCAGCACTACACTTACTCAGTTCAGCTGGGAGTTATAAATTGACCACCAGTTATCAGTTCACTACAACTATCAAGCAAAAAAGGTATCGATAAGAAGCTAAGGGGAAGAAGTAGGCATTCCTAACAAAACAGGTGAAGAGGGGGAAAGAAATGATGAAAAATGAAATCAGAAGGTCTGAGTATAGCAACAAAGGAAGAATTTATTATTTTGTGAGCTTAATGATTAGAATGATATTATGTAGAAGCAAATAAATAGAAAAAATCTATCTTGCTCTTGAACACAAAGGATATTTAGCAATTACAAGAAGGCAGGAAGCTCATATACATTTTCTCAACTACATAGAATAATAACATGAATACACTTAGAAAGGTGGCCAGTTCCTGAAGATTTCAAAATATTCCCTTAAATAATTTCTGGGCTAGGGATGAATTGTTGCTTGCAATAATAGAAAATATCTTTAAAACCCCAACTAAAACTCACCGTCTAAGAATTATTATAAATCATGGCAGTATCAAAATCCTGTGTCATGGAGAGTTTATAACTAAGAAAAATGACGTAAAATCACATGACTGAATGCACATCTTTCATGGCTTAATGAAATCCAAATTAACATTTAAGGTTTCATTTCATACCTATGAAACTAGGAAAAAAAAACCCAAAAGGATAAAAATGAAAAACAACATTGGCAGGTTTTTAGTGGCAGCAGGCTCTCTGCTAGAGGGATGAAAATGAGATTGAATGAATTCCTGCCCTCCTGGAGTCCAGTAATAAAGAAATGGCAAAGACAGCAGGGGCTATTCAAGGTGGATTGTTTGTGAGCACAATCATAAAGCGTTTAAAGCAGTCACCGAGGGTTCACTTGTGACGACAAGGGCCGTGTTCCTCCAGAGAAATGTCAACTAGAACACAATGTAGGCCATCCTTATTCCCAAGAGTTGTGTTTCAAGAACCCAGTAGAAGCCAGGCGTGGTGGCGCACGCCTGTAATCCCAGCACTTGGGAGGCTGAGGCAGGAGGACCGTTGCGAGTTTGAGACCAGCCTGGGCTACAAAGTGAGCTCAAGTCCAGCCTGAACTACATAGCGAGACCTTGTCTCAAAAAGACAAAAAAAAAAAAAAAAACCCAAAAAACAAAAAACCAATAGATGCCTGAAACTGCATATAATACCAAGCCATACATATATAGTTTAATTTATAAATTAAGCGCAGTACAAAGTTAACAATAGCTAGTAATAAAATAGAACAATTATAATATACTGTAATAAAATTATGTGAACATGATCTCTTGAGTCAAGACAAATGTGAGATGTGATAAAATATATGGTGAATGTTTACATTAAAAATTTTATTAGTGTAAGCAACACATTGTTAATTCCTCTCTAAATGCTCCTCCTTGCTTTCAACACACACCCATCATTCCTGACACTTTCTGAGCTGTTTTGGAAGTCCTCTTTCATGGTGTCCTTATGAGATGTGGTGGGCCAGGGATATAGCTCAGCGGCACAGTGCCTGCCTGGTTGCTGAACTCACAAAGTTGTGAGTTCGATTCCCGGTACCAAAAAAAAAAAAAAAGATGTGGTAAAAAAATTATATACATAATGAAAGCTGCTGCTGAATGCCATCCAATGGAAAGGCAGACATGGCAGTGTCTCTTCAGCTACCTTGGTCACTGGACCTGGCACCATGCGACTTCTGCCTCTTCCCCAAAGTCAAAATGACCATGAAAAAAAAATGACCATGAAAGGGAATTATTTTGAATCAATTCAGGAAACTGAAGCAGCTATGGCGGTGCCACTAAAGACACGAAAGAGGAAAGAGTATTGGGGGGGCAGTTAATGGTAACGGGTCTGCTATAAATTAAAATAAATGTAAGCATCCACTGTACTTTTCAATCACATCTTGTATTAATATTTCAGACTGTGAGTGACTGCAGGAAACAGAAACCAGGGAAAGGGGAAACACAGATGGGGAGGTCACTGTACCCATGGGAGTTTGCCCTTCCCGTTGTAGCGCCAATACCTGGCGCTGGACGTGCACCACGCAGCAGGTCCTCACTCAGCATCTGATGGATGACTCCGGTGTGCTTAGGGAATTGCAGCAGAAAAGTAAAACACGAGTCTACGCTGCACAATTAGAACTAGCGCCCAGACTTAGATGTTCACTTCAAAGTCTCAAAAGGGATTTTGCAATGGTAGAAGAACACATTCCCCTGCTCTGCACAGGTGCTTAGATTCATAATTTTATTTATTTATTTATTTATTTATTTATTTATTTATATTTCTTTTTGAGACAGGGTCTCTCTATGCAGTTCAGGCTGGACTTGTGCTCACTTTGTAGCCCAGGCTGGCCTCAAACTCTCAACCATCCTCCTGCCTCAGCCTCCCGAGTGCTAGGATTACAGGTGTGCACCACCACGCCCCGCTGTTCGTAATCTTAAAATGCAGAATTTCATATATATATACCACTACCTGTGTGTTCCAACCCTGTTTATTTTGGAGCCTGTGGGTCTCAATTCGTGAATCTTGATATTGGCCACACGCACACTGAACTTGCCTGAGGACTGACGTGCACTCGCTTGCCTGCGGCAGAGCTCAGGTGCCAGTCATTCGTCCAGCGTTCAGCCACGGCACGGAGCCCACTGGAGCAGCATGAAACCCGTTCAGTCATTCTCAAGAACAATCCTTCATGTTGTCTCCAGAGAGCCCTGATTCAAAACTTTCGTATTATTTCTAAAAAGTGCCTTGGGTTGGGGCCTGTGGCTGAGTGATACATGCGCAAGGCTCTGGGTTTGAGCCTCAGCCCTGGGAAAATATTTACATGAAGTTGGTGGGCTGCAGTGACAAATGCAGTCAAAAGTCTGGTGTCCTTATGCCCTCACGCCCACAATATCCATAGCAGATAGATTAAGTACACTTTCATGGCCTCTGACCCTCTAGGGCAACAAGGATTGTGGGAGGCTGACTTCCATTTGGGTCACCCCCATGGACATGTTAGCCAGGTGGGCATTGCTAGAAGTTCCTGCAGAAGCCAGAAGGAAAAGCCCACCAGATCCTGGGCAGGGGGTGCACCCAGAGCATGGCCTTCCAACTTGTTCCATTGCTGCTATAAGAAGGATCCTGAGGGCAGAGGTCTGGAGTTGCCATTGGTGTCTGGGGACACAAAGGAATCCGGTTACCTTGATTTTAGGCTGTGCAGCTCTGGATGGTGGAGGATAAGTTGTTGGGGAATAAGAAGGGGAACTGTGCATGTGTGAGCTGTGCTGAGATCTGGAATCTGGGACGGAGTTTCTGGAACCAGGGTGAAAAATGGTACCCCGCTAGGAATATTCACTGAGCTCAGTGCTCGCTCCACAACGTGCCCAAGCACTTAACTCCCTCTGGTTTTATAGCTCCAGGACTGGCGATGAGATTGGTTGTTTTTTCCCCTGCCTGCCTCTCCTTCCTGTCCAAAGATTGACAGTTCATGGGATGACTGGGGCTTGCAGGGGATCCCTACAGCTGTGAAGAACAGGGTCCATGTGTTGCCTGCATGCTTTGCTAGGACTTGGGTTCAAAAGGCTGATTGGGACCATCAATAGGCCGGTGTGGGAGGGTCTCAGAGTAATCACATCTTTTTCCTCCTGCAGGCTCCCCATTCTCCAGGGAGGCACGTTTGGTTTCGTGGCACCCTCTTTGGCCATGCTCTCCCTTCCAGCCTGGAAATGCCCAGAGTGGACACTCAATGCCAGCCAGGTGGACACCAGCTCTCCTGAATTCACCGAGGAGTGGCAGAAGAGGATCCGAGAGGTAACAGGACCAGGGAGGAAGTGGGAGGGTTGTGGGGGTGAGACAGGGGCTCCTGAGTCTGTCCATGTGTTCAACATTCAATATCCAGTCGCTGCCAAGAAAGACCCTGGGCTTTAAGGTGCTCTTGGAGATAAGACAGACACGAATCCTCCCTCGGGGAGCTACAGTCTGGTGTGTGTGTGGTTGGTGGGGCAGTATGGGAAGGACAGAGACATATTCCAAAAAGAAAACAGAAGAGGGGAATTTCAGGAACTCATAAGTATAATGAAGAAAAGGAAACAGGGGGATGGGAGGGGCTGGGGCTGCTGGGGAGGAGAGGGAAGATGAGTGTCCTCGGGCACATCCATCACTCAAGGGGGAAGAGTGTAAGTGACAGAGACTTTGATTTAATACACTTCCTGTTGATTTTTGTGCACGTAACGTACAGACCTTTAAAGCAAGGGGCGGCAAAGTATGATTCTTGGGTCAAATCCTATATGTGCTCTGTTCTGTGCTTTGGTTTGGTCTGGTTTTTGTTTTCTTTATTTTACTGCGCAGGAGCAAAAAATGCTGTTTATATTTTTAAAAGTTTTTTTGGCCCATAAAAATCTAAAATAGCTACGCTTTGGCCTTTGCCAGAAAGTTTGATAATTCCTGGTTTAAAACACAGAGCTCAGGATAGAGCTCCCCTTGCAGTCTGTTATCGTCTCCACCCTCTAGGCAGTCATGAACCCAGTTTTATCTGTGGTATATTAGCTCCCTCTGTTGGTGAAATATTATTCACCTTCACTATGAACAAAAAGACCTTTAAGTTTGAACTTCACTACCTATAATTGATTCACTGATTGGTTTAATTCACTGAGTCAACCTATTGGGGTGGATTCCTCAAGATACACTGAACTATATTTATCTGTACACGTCTCAAGGCTGGAAATACTGATTGTCACCAGACCAACTGTATATCACAATCCCAGCCACAGAGGAGGGCAATAGGAACGCAGCACCAGCAGGAGTGCTAGGATTCATGGAGCTCAAGGAGCAATAGAGAGGGAGAAGTGAGCAGTGATTCTATTTTGGAGAACTGGTGGTTTTAGAAGCAGCAGAAAACTGTAAAGAGATGGTGAGTTCAGTTTCCAATACCTTAGACCAATCTAAGCTTCACTTTCTGGCATCACAGTAATTTAAACTGCACAGACCCCATTCACATTACCAACATTAAAAAACGACAGATGAACTATATTTTCCAGTGCATACTTGAGTGTAAAGCCAGGGAGAGATACCACTTTTTAGAATCAAAGATGGAAATGATAGCCAGAATCATGGAGTTTATAATAGCAGGATGATGAATCAGACCCCAATATAGAACCAGTGGCTAGAAGCCTGGGTTTTCACGATTCACTGGTAGCCTGAAAGGGCATTCCCTTTAGGGAATGGAAGGCTGTAATAACTCTACCCACCAGCAGAGGGAATGAGCAAGGACGCTTTTTATTCTGCGCAGGGTCTGTGGGAAGTGTCAGAACATAGATTTGCATGAGAACCAGAAACTCCAGCACATGGTGGTGTGGGGGAAAGCTTTCAAGCTCAGAAAGAAAAACTCGTTCTGTCAAATAAGTACCTGGGGTTCTCAGCAAGAGAAAATGTAAAATCTCTCCTTTAGGATACTTTTGCATTCTAGGGTACACAAGATTTCCACAGGAAGTCGGGTGTGGTGGTGTATGCCTGTAATCCCAGCACTCAGGAGGCTGAGGCAGGAGGATCGTTGTGAATTCAAGGCCAGCCTGGGCTACAAAGTGAGTTCAAGGCCAACCTGAACTACATAGGGAGACCCTGTCTCAAAAAGACCAAGAAAAAGAAAAAAATAAAAGATTTCCACAGGAATAAACAATTCCCCTGAAAATGGCCCCACTGATGTAAATATCATAACATATTATGAAAGATACTCAGCAGAAACAAGATAAAATTGAATATTTTGAAAGAGGCTGTTCAATCAGTATTTTTAAATTAATTTAAGAGAATCAACAAACAATAAAAACCATAGTACAAAGGCTGGGGATTTAGCTCAGCGGCACAGTGCCTACCTGGCAAGCGTGAGGTCGTGAGTTTGATTCCCGGTACCGGAAAAAAACATAGTATAGAAGAAGATTAAATGAGTAAGAATAGGGAAATTTTAAAATAAAGCCAAACAGAACTTTAGTCATACAAATACATAATCAAATCATTGCAATTTTGAAATGCATATAATCATTAAACAGCATTAGATGTAGTAAAAGACAAATTAACAAATGGATTAAAAGATGATCTAAGGAAATAATCCAGAATACAGCACAGAGGGGTAAACAGTTGGGAAATATGAAATAGAGAATAAGAAATGTAGAAATAGAAGTCCAAGTTATATCTAATAGGAATTCCAAAGCTTGACAATAAAGAAATGGCAAAAGTGACAGCAGCAGAAGAGATGCAGTGGAAGATACTTTAGGACAGATGAGAGATGTGAATGCTACTCTCGCCAGTCTCAAATGGAGTAAATAAAATAAGTCCAATACTAGACACACTGATATAAAATGATATTTGTAATATCAAATACAAAGAGAATGTCAGGCATGGTGGTGCACACCTGTAATCCCAGCATTGGGGAGGCTGAGGCAGGAGGATCATTGTGAGTTCAAGACCAGCCTGGGCTACAAAGTGAGCTCAAGGCCAGCCTGAACTGCATAGTGAGACTCTGTCTCAAAAAGACTAAACAAAACAAAAAGAAGTACAAAGACAAAATGTTAGAGACAACATGAAAAAAACTGCATGCAAAAGAATAGCAAGTGATCATTCGGCAGCCTTCTCACCAGCAACATCAGAGACAGGAAAAAAATGGAGCACTTTAATTCCACATCATGCCGGGTGTTGTGGTGCATGCCCATAATCCCAGTACTAGGGAGGCTGAGGCAGGAGGATCCTTGTGCATTTGAGACCAGCCTGGGCTACAAAGTGAGCCCAAAGACCAGCCTGAACTGCATAGCAAGACCATGCCTCAAAAAGATTAAAAAAAAAAATCTATATCAGGCAAGACTGACTGCAAATTAAAGACATTTTCAATTAAATAAAGATGAAGAGAGCTTATTCACCCCAGACCTTTACTGAAATGACTACTCAAAGATATCCCTCAAGCAAAAGAAAATTATATCTTGAGTCAAGGAGTGGTAGAAAAATAGAGGAAAAAATATTTGGTAATAAGAAGTATTATTAGTTAACTCAGGATGCCATAACAAAACCCCAGAGACTGGGTGGGTTAAATAACAGAAGTGGATTTTCTTACAGTTCTGGAGGCAGGAAGTTGGATAGTGTGGTGCCAGCATGGTTGGGTTCTGGGTAGGCCCCTCTTCTTGGGTTGTAGACTGCTATTTTCTAGCTATGTCTGCACAGTCTTTCCTTGGCACATGATGTGGGGAGGGGAAAAATAGTCCTTTTATTAAAACAAGGGTGCTAATGATATCATGGAGCCCCCTCTACTGACCTCATCTAAATCTAATTACTGTTCAAGCCCCCATTTCCAAATACCATGGGAGGGGGCATAATTCAGTCCTCAGCAGTAGGTAAATCTGAGTACTGATTACAGGAAAATATAATAAAATTCATATTATTATAAGTAGGAATTCATACAATAAAATTTATACTTATGAGAGTATGAATTTTAAGAAATATACAAAAAATAAATATCTTGCAAAAATAATACAGACAGCCTAAGATGGTGATGGGAATTGAAGTTTTCTATAGTCATTATACTATTTTGGAGGATGTTAGAAAATTTAGTTAGCTGAAAACTTTGTTATATGAAGTGTTCACATTAAAAAGTTAAGAATAACTGCTAAAAAAAACAAAGGTGTAACATCTACACAGTTAGAGCTAGAAAGGGGAAGTAAAGTCAAGTCATGCAATCTGGAAGATCAGGGTTGGCAAACTACAGTCTGGGAGCCATTGCCTGGGTTTTTTTTTTGTTTTTTTTTGGTTTTGTTTTTATCTTTTTGAGACAGGGTCTCACTATGCAGTTCAGGCTGACCTTGAGCTCACTTTGTAGCCCAGGCTTGACTCGAACTCACAACGATCCTCCTGCCTCAGCCTCCTGAGTGCTGGGATTACAGGCATGCGCCACCATGCCCGGCCACCATTGCCTGTTTTTGAATAGCTATGACTAAGAAGAGTTTTACATTTTAAATAATAATTTTTGTTTTGTTTTGTTTTGCTTTCGGTACTGGGAATCAAACCAGGACCTTGCTCTTGCCAGGCAGGCGCTGTGCCACTGAGCTAAATCCCCAGCCCTTAAATGGTAATTTTAAAACATCCCAAAGAATAATATATACTGACATGCAAAAATTGTATGAAATTCAAATGCCAGTGACTATAAATAAAGTTTTATTGGAATACAGCTATGCTCATTTGTTCTCATCCTGTCTGGAAAAGTTGCAACGCAGCCTGTGTGCTCACAGAGCCTAAAACGTCCGCCAGCTGGTCATTTATAGAAAGAGTTTGCTCGCCCCTGCAGCAGAAAGTGAGCAAACAGAAACCCATGACAGCAAGATGTTCAGCGCATCACTGAATCATGCTAGTGTGCAAGCCATTGCCGTGTGATCAGTGGGTAATTCTGAAGCTGTTTCCTGAAAAGCTTCACATTAAATGAAGCTGTCCTACAGGCAGTGGGAAACACGGCTGGAGAGAGGAAGATGGTGCCGTTCCTCCCACTTCCTCTGGGTTCCAGCTCTGCCTCTGCTCTGCTTGCGAGGCACCATCTAGGGGTGGCTCGGTCTGGCCATGAGCAGCAGCGGCTGGGGCCGCCATGGTGGCCAGGGCTGGGCTGAACCTGCTCCTTCCCTTCAGCTGCAGGGCTCCATCATGGTGGCTTCCTGCGTGCAGATGCTGGTGGGCTTGTCAGGCCTCATTGGCTTTCTCATACGCTTCATCGGGCCCTTGACCATCGCTCCGACCATCGCGCTGGTGGCCCTGCCTCTCTTCAACTCCGCAGGCAACGATGCCGGAACCCACTGGGGGATCTCCGCCCTGTAAGTACTCTGTGGGGAGGGCAGCCCATCTACATTTTCATTTTCTGTGGAATATCACCTAGCAGGATCTGGTGATACAGTAGGAATCTGTAGTAGATACAGTAGGATACTATATCTGGTGATATAGTAAGAATAGTAGGATCTGGGATATTGGCAAACTCTTGTTTACAAATACTTTAGTGAACATTATCATACTTTGTGTGCGTGTGTGTGTGTGTGTATTGGGGATTGAAACCAGGGCCTTCACACTGAGCCACACCCCCAGCCCTTTTATGTCTATTTTTTTGTTTTGTTTTGAGAAACCATGTCACTTAAATTGCTAATTTGCTTTGGCTAGTCTCAGACTTATGCTTTTCCTGTCTCAGCATCCCAGAAGGTTGGCCTTCCAGGCTATCAAACCTTTTAAGAACCAGAGTTGCTACTTATCATTCATTCATACTGTTATTTACTTTAACTTATTAATAACCACAGATCATGACTTAATCACCAGCAGTATATAAGAATGCACTGTTTACAAAAAGTTGATCCTATGGGTCTCTTGCCAACTAGGTTTGCATGGAGTGGGGAAGGGTGTAAAGGCGGGCTGTCTCAAACACGGTACAGTCGGAGATGTAGGGGGCTCAGATAGGAGTCCCTGTGCAATCTGGGACAGCCACACGTCATACAGAGTCATAGGGTGCAGAGGAGGTGAAGACAGCCAGCTGGGAGGGTCAAGAGGCTTCATGCAGCCTCCTCACTTGAAGGAGCTTTGAAGGCACTCCGGGGCGACGCTGTCCCTCACTCTGCCCTCTGTGGTCTCAGGGGAGGTGTGAGCACCATCAGCCTTGTGTGCCCTCTGCTCAGGATGCGCTGGGCTCGCAGATGGGGTATGGTGGTTCCTTCCTGTTTCAGGACTATCTTCCTCATCGTGCTGTTTTCTCAGTACCTGAAGAAGGTCGCGGTGCCGGTGCCTGTTTACAGAGGAAGGAAGAAACGTCGCACCGCCAAGTTCTACGTGTTTCAGGTCTTCCCTGTGAGTAGCGCCCCTCGCCCCTTACACTCTGAGTGGATCCCCGGACAGAACACCTTCTGCACGCCCCGAGGGTCCCCAAGCCTCTGCTTCCCAGTGTGCGGCAGGGGCTCCTCCTAGGGCAGGGCGCAGCCCGCTGGAGTATGGTATGCGCCCTAGCAGTTGCCGGCCTGCTGCCCCGCCCCGCCCAGGTCTGCCCCGCCCAGGTCTGCCCCGCCCAGGTCTGCCCCGCCCAGGTCTGCCCCGCCCAGGTCTGCCCCGCCCAGG